CCATAATTACGGGATTACTACTGCCGAAGTATTATATCACCACTTAAAATTGCTATGTCCGTCAAAATACCTTGTTCAGAAGCGAGGCTTGCCCTGAATACCGCAAGTTCAGAGTATCAACAGTCACCACCACTAGCTTAATGTTGAGTCCTTCGGTAAAGTACTGGTCATCCTTCCTGCTCATCCCTCGTGACATGCGCTCTGTTATATCTTTCCCTGCCACAAATCGTAATACAGTAAGTTGTCTTAATTATTGTGCTGTCAGATTAATGTCGTTTCGTTAGTTTAAATTGTTTGACCTTGGTCAATTGTAGTACGAATTAAGGATAAGATGGGGTGTTATTAATATTTGAATTATTTTTAGGGTGATTTAATACAAATATAAATGATCGAAGAAACAAGCTTTGTATCATCACCTCATCACAACTTTAACTGTCGTTAAAGCACATTAAATCCCAAATTTAAATTCGGTTGAATATTCAGTGTTCGTTATGCAAGCAAGAAACCGCATTTTATTATTACAGGGTGGCCCAGAAATAACTGCCCATACGCAACCCTTCAATAACTCACGTAATTCTTCTTAGAATTGCACAGAAATTTCAGAGATTATAGATAATATGGGTCAAACTTAGATTTCCTGAAAGTTTCGTTAAATTTAATTTATTACAGTGGGTGTGGCACGCCAATCCCTCTTTTTCGCTATTGTCACCATAAAGTGAGAACGCTTTCAGCTAGGAAGCAAAGGGTTGCGTGAGGGCAGTTACTTCTGGGCCACCCTGTATATAAGAACATACAATTTGTTATGAATCACATTTTCCTACATGTAACGGTTGCCGCATGCCCCTAATGTATCCTTATGCGTTTATATAAATGAGTCGTGGCACTTACCTTTCGCATACTCCTTTGATATATGCGCTAATAGTGTGTCCATTTTCAGCCTTAACATTGTGTAAATCAGGTTGTGTTTTTCGTGTTCGTTCATTTCTTTTGAGTTTTTGTGATAAATTGAATCATGGTCAGGCGGAGTCTGAAAATCTATTGGAACATCTCTGAAATTGTGCTCAGCTTTGCATATCATGGTTTCACGAGGATGATAATCCGAATTGCTACTTTGCCCTTGGTCATCATGATAGCCACCAAACTTTGATGAATTCTCATCGAATTGCCATTGGCATCCATTATTGCTGGCGAAAGTTTCAAGATTGTTCATTTTACTGAAGAACATTCTTTTGGAAAAGTCCTTTTCATTGTCCGAATCGCTGTCCCCCTTCTCTCCAGGTAAAAAGTAAGACTCCGATCTCCTTAGAAGTCCTGACTGTTCTTCTTCCAAATGTAATAATAGATCGTTCACCTTTAAATCACTAGATTCATCCTGTAGAGTTATCCCGCTGAAATCCTCCAATTGTAGAACCCGTTTCCCTTTCAATCTTTTACTTCCGACTATTTCTCTGGCAGTCACCGACATAGCCTTGGTCACTGACGAGTCACTGGACAGCAGACGCTTTTCTATTATCATCCGTCTCTTGTATAATTTCCCGTTATCTCTGTTTATCTTGGTGATAGTTTTCCGGCCCCCTGCACTCAATCTTCTCCGCTTCCATCTCTGAAGATGTTCTTGGAAGTAGTATCTACTCGTATTCGAACCTAAGTTACCAGAGTTAGCTCTTTGAGGGTTACCCAACCTCAGAATGTTGTCCTGTATCAGTTTGCCCTCACTCATCTTGACACACTTTAGTAAGAAGTCGTCTACAGTGATATTTCGACGGGCTGCGAAGAGTACTTTCTCCTCTCTGGAGCATCTAAAAGTAACAATTACATGTTTCAGAACCCCCTCTATTCTCTAAAAGTAAAAATTATAATACATGTTTCCAGAATATCCTCTAAGTTTAAGATATCAGTGATCAAATATCTTTTAATCGTGAATAGTGATGTTGAAATGAAATATCAAACTTATGACCTATCTAAAGCAAGCTCGACTCCCGTGTGAGTCTTTCCGCAGCCCGGTGGTCCGTGTATAACATTCAACTTCCTCTTTTCACATTCCTCGATAACTTTCTTGGAATCTGTGATGGGTATTCTCAGCGGTTCTCTGTTTTGAAGGTATCTGTTTTTAATGGCAGTGCCTATTTGGGTCATTGTTTCACTTGCCTTTACGTATTGTTGGAGGAGGATTACACTCTTCTCGTTTGACTTTGAGATGTACAGTGAGCATGCAGATCCACGCAATACAGCCTCTAACAGGTCTTTGAATGTAGTTTTAGGGTCTAAAGTATTGATCGTAAGACTAAATTCATGGCAAAATATCAATTTATTCTGTCATCTGTCAAGGACAAGAGCGGGAAAGATTTTGCGGCTGCGCGGTGTGTCGGTATTTCAATTGAATTATTTAAGTTCATCCTTCATGCAACTGTTTTAGCAGTGTTACTGTTACTGCAAATAATATATATTATGGTAATATTGTCTTTGTGGCCATTCATATTTATTAACAATAACAATCATACGGAAACTCATACAGTTGGTCAAATGCACGCACATACGTTACTCATTGTCATTTGACTTATGATTGCTGTTTCTTAGTATTTCCTGGTATTTCTTGGTATTTCATTTTCATATCTGTCAATAGTCAAACCTAGAAGATTCTAAACAGAGCAAGCATTTTTACATTTTAATTTCTAATTGATATGATTATACACCACGACTACGACGGTTGACTCAACCTCAAAATTTGTACTATAAAATAGTAAAGATCCATATTTGCAGTTTCTAATCTAGCAATTTATTTTGATGACATGTGTTCCCTATATTTTAATTTTTATATGTGGTAAAGGAAAGAATCACCAGGGTGTAGCTCGTCTAGATACATGAAAGTAATTGTAGACTCTGTTATTCCCTTCACTAGACCCCATACCAGGCGATATGCTCCCTTTGTTCTATGACGGTTATCTGTGTCATCTGAACAATTGAAGTTTGTTTCAAGGGACCCTTCACATATTACGTAATCACTTTTTGGCCAATTTTTAATCCCCCTCCGTAATCATGTTTGACACATAGCTATTGTGTCAAAAGTACACTAGCATAGTCATTTAGAAACCCCCTCCCCCTCAGTGATTACGTGATATGTGAACGACCCCTAAGGATTAACGGGTGATACTCGTAAAATATTTGTTTCAAATACCTTACAAGACATATTTATGGCGGCCTAATTTGCGACGACCGAAATTTTGGCGGTCCGAAAATATGGCGAAATTGAACAAAAACCGTCAAATTTCGGACGTCACAGCAAAATAAGGGTATTTTTCATCATTTTTTGTGACAGTAAGCAGTAAGGAAATTTCTGAAATTCGGTAAAATCTTGTAGGTTTACAACCTACCAGGACGCGCGCCGAGTTGGACTCGTCGACGGTCCAATATATGGAACAGATAGAAGTAAAATCATGTTCAAACTTAGTCTGTATTAAGACTGTAAGACTTTCATGTTAGCACATACATGTATTTTAATGCAAATTGAAACTGTATTGCTTGACATTTAATTCGTCATTGGTGTGGTAATAATTTGTCCCAAGATGCCAGAATTTATTTATTTATTTTACTTGATATTACTTTTTAGAAACAAAATAAAGCAGTGAAGGCACAGTCATTGAAATAAGCTAAAAGATAATGCGACGGATTCTATTACGACGACCGAAATTTTGGCGGTCCGAAAATATGGCGAAATTTTCGGAAAACCGCCACATTTCGTACGTTATAAATATGTCTTGTAAGGTATTCAATATTCAAATATTCAAGACCGTCAACGAGTCCAACTCGGCGCGCGTCTTAGTAGGTTATAAACCCACAACCTAAGGATGAAACTCAGATAGATAAATGTAATCGTTATTTCTTCTGGATTAAGATCCAAAAATTGGTATCAACAAATTCTATGAGTATGAGGGCTAGTTAACAAATGAGTGTTTGGGAAATTCAAGTTTAGTGGTACCATGTTCCATCATGTTTATATCCTGCACTTACCCTGGGAAACATTTAGAATGATGCAAGACAAACTGTTAGCGAAATCAGATTTAACTGAGCTTGACGGTGAAGTAAATCTTGAGTGGACAAATAGTCTGAATTTATTGGACTCATTTCTGAAATAACGAATTTAGTTGTATGGATTGTCAACCCTCGAAGCTGTCCACTGAATTTTACTTAAAAACGTTAAACGCAGGCGCAGACTGACTCTTGCATTTCAATAAAAATCGATCCCCTAAATCGTTACTTAAAACAGCGTCAAGGGTAGAATTTTAAGAAGTAAAAATGTCGAAATCTTCCTCAGACTTTAATTTGACGACTTCACAAGTGATAGTGTCGCAGTTGAAAGGAATATTGCATTTCGACGTGTCATTGCTATGTAGTATTTTTCTCGGCGTATCTCAATATCTTATTCTTAACCATATTTATCAAAATCAATATTTTATTTCAAAATGACAAATGAAGTATTAAGAATAGAAAACAGATTTAATGCAGCCTGAATCACACTATCGAATTTGTCAGTTTTACATTTACAATTCATCTACCAGCTTGTATATTAGTCATCTGATATACCTGTGAGTGAATTCAACACTATTAGGAATAATACTTTAACTCACCTAAACTGGTATCCTATGAAATGAATCATAAGCCAATAATCTCTCGGCTTCTCTTCTTCTTTACCCCCTCCATTTTCAAGTGATTTAAACTTACCATGGAGATGATTGAGGGCATCGTAGTACAAATCATACTTTAACACTATGTACTGTTTAGCTATGGAATCTACGGCAAATGATCTGATGGAGAATGCCAGGCGTGGCAGTTGATATACCAAGTCGTCTATATGAATCTCCAGTGCTTCAATATCAGAGGTACGTGTCACCACAAGATATGGTAAGTGAAGTGTCCGGGATTTGAAGATAGCCTGTCCCGGACCTAATGATCGCCGCTTAGATGACGGCATGCTAGCTACAAATACAATGAAAACGCATCAATTATGAAACTTGTTACTTGAATTGGAACGAGCATGGCAGTTAAAATTTATCAAGTCGCAGTGTGATCTAAGCGAGGTCATCGCAACACTGTGACACTGACATATTATCTGATATTATCACTTACTTTCTTAACATCTAATAAATTATCATCACATCTAATAAATTTAAATAACACAATGTATATTCATGTCAGCTCTAAAAGTAAAATCTATCTTCTCCACAGGTCTCAGATCACACCTCCTGTTTCGAATCCGCCAGGGTAACCAGGGTAACCAGGGTAACCAGGGTAACCAGGGTAACCAGGGTTACCAGGGTTACCAGGGTTACCAGGGTTACCAGGGTTACCAGTGTAACCAGGGTTACCAGGGTTACCAGGGTTACCAGGGTTACCAGGGTAACCATGGTTACAATCTCTACCCATGAAAGGAAGGTATGTTGATCAGATTGCTGAGCTCGTTAAGCTGGTTAGCTTCCTCGAACATGCAGGCGAACCCTATAACTGTTCCTGAGAGGCAGGTGCACCACTCCCCCTGGTTCTGTTCCCATCTCTCCTGGTGGACACGTGTCAACCCTGAACAGTTAACAGGTAAGTCTTCAGCTATATTCAGCTATATTCAGCTATGTTCAGCTATGTTCAGCTATGTTAAGCTATATTTAGCTATGTTCAGCTATGTTCAGCTATATTCAGTGACACTGTCCTGTCTCACGGTATTCTATTACAGTTGGTTGATGGTTCATCGGGAAATCATTGCATTGGAGGTATTCGCCAAAATGCCGACTAATTATTAACATAGAAACGTAGTGTCCAATATAAAATTCCATGCCTATTTTTTGTTGATCGTCGAAATGTTGCCTTATTTTTACATCACATTCTTTATCAATGAACTATTATACTATGTATGAAAAGTAGTAACCAAAGCTACAAAACAATTGTTCCCAGATGTTTTCAATTGAACGGAGGTCAAAACATAAAAATTAGATAAAGACATTAAATATGTACAAGTCTATCTCTGATCTAAATGCGATGTTTGATCGCATTCTTCTCCTGAACCCTGTCTACTCTCTACTCCTTGGTTTTGTTCAACTCGTCCATTAGTCTGTTTCTTTCAACACTTATTACTTGATCAGGTTTAATATTTAATGCTAAGATAACAATCTGTTTTCGCTCTTATGAGTGGGTCGATCATATAATTGATGTTTTAGGACAAAGTGAGAGTCACCACTCAGTTAAAAAAAAACTGAGTCTCCACTCTCACTTTTTCCAAAACATCAATTAAAGATAAAATACTTGTAAATACAGTTAGTTATAGCAGTATATAATAACCAGTATGTAACTGACCGCTAAATTCACACCAGCATTGAGTCTCTGAACAAGTTGTCCCGTGGTCGGTGCAGGTGCAGGTGTTGCAGTCGTCCTCCCACATTTCACCAATGAACTTAGTCTGGCCGTGATACTCGCATGTGTCCGGGCACTGGTAGTGGGTGGTGAAATATTAAATAAAAGTTCTAAACAAGGGATAGTAAAAAACAAATAAATAAATGTCAAAAATTCACTGTAGTTTCTGCCAATGTAAGAGAGATTTAATTTATATTTGGTGCTGTCCGGAAATCCAGAGATGGAAATACAGAAATAGAACTGTTTGAAAAATGCAAGAAAAATGAGAATGCCTGAAAAATGAAGACTTAAAGCTGCAGATATAGAAAACGGAGTTCTCTAGGTATTTAGTGTATGCTAGTCAAGCTCTAGTCACGTAGCACGAACGGCAGGGCGTACCGTATGTAGAAAGGAAACGAGTAAATTAAAAAGGATAATTAAATAAATGGAAAAGTAATACAAAGTGAACGTCAACAGATAAAAACTTCCAAGTGTTCGCTCCAAACAATTGACGTGACTAATAGATCACTCGACGTGTCTAATCACAAAAGATAGTGCTCAGTCAGACTGGCTATCGTCAATTAGAATCCCTTAAAATGATTAAGGGGCAACTAAGAAGTGAGCTCTCCACTTCCGGCTCTCCCGGTATACTCTCAAAACACGTCACGCCACACTGCGTGACGGCACAACGCATCTGCTTGCACCACGTGACTTGCAGTCTCGCCAATGAGCACTCCACTAGCAGTCACCCTGTGTCCGCGAGGACCAACCACAGGTCTGGCTGTTAGTCAGGTGCAAAGTGTTACATTTTATTAATTTTTGCATAACAAGTTGTATCGGTGTTGTATTGGTGTTGTATTGGTGCTGTAATGGTGTTATTTACTTCAAACCTGCTACAAATATGATTAATATAATGTAATTATTAGATTTCGTTTCTGGAAATCAAATATTCAAAAACGTTCCGCAGTGTTACCCCGCTGGCCCCAAGATGCCCGGAAGCCGAGATGTTGAGACCAATAGAAAAAGAGCCAAAGCAAAATAAAAAAGGCTTTAGGTTTAATCCGGTCTAATCAAGTGCTTCGGACACAACAATACACTTGATGCACAATAATACACTTGATGCAAGTTGCAAAGTTAACAATAGTAGTAATATGTTGATTGTTGAGGATTATCAAATGTTGGAGTAGTTCGCTGTTTATTAGTCTCATGATGAAATACTGATAGTTGGATAATATCCGGTTGAAAGAGACAAGGACAAATGAAACAGGAAGTTAGGAATGTATGCAAATTTTCGGCGTCAACGCCATCTTTAGGCTCAAATTATTTGTTATAATATAGTAGTGTTGAAAGTATTTAAATCTATTAAGGTTGTAATACTTTCAACACTACTATATACCTAATATCAGTTGATTGTTGATGTCGTTGAAGGAGAGTTGATAATCTTGAAGGTATTACCCTCTTAGTTGAGAAATAGCTGGGCATTGTCATAGAAAATGCGAGACGGTCTTGTCTTAATGATCACACATCGTCTAGGTTTAAAAAAAGGGCGGATGTCAAATTTCACTATGGCTTAGAAAATAGGTCTTATAGAGGTCTATAACATTCCGAAAAGTTTGAAGCTCTATCGTGCTTAGCTTTTCAAACTTTCAAAGGGCGAATGCTATTTTCGAGATCTCAAAAAAATCCGAATGTTATACAATATGTTATACATACAATGTAACACATTCGCCCTACAACATTTCAGAAAATGGGTTGCATAAAAGGGCCAATGTTAACCTTTAGGGGCCATTATCTCGAAACATTTTCTAACATTCGCCCTTTTAAAAAACCACGACGACATAGGACAGGCACTGGTGCTAGATTTGCAGATGGTATGAAGGTGTCTAGCCCACAGTGTCTAGCTCACAGTAACTCAAGCTGCAGTTCTGTATTTCTGTCTGTTTTTAATGAGTGTAGTGTCAAGGTTTTTTTTATGATGGTTTCATGTTTTCTACTTGGTGTGATCTTGCGGTGTGTCTAGGTCGTCGAGCACAAGGAGATAGCCTGTATAGAGGAGCAGCTATCAGTCCATATGAATATAATGATGTGGTTGTTGGTATAAGTTCAGAGCTATTTACAAGCTTCCCATATTGCTGTGAGTCCTGTCTGATAGACAATGAAATAAGCAAGAAGCTTAAAAGATTGTTCGTCTAGTGATATAGCGTTATTGTTGTCAGACGTCAGTGTTGATGATATTACCTGCCTCACTTCTTGAGTCTGTACTTGACCCATCTGTGATTGTCCCATTGGGGATACTGTCGATGTGAGTCTCTGTATTCAGTGGTATTTATGTGTTACGCTCCCGCATCGTGTTGGTTTTGATAGGTCTCTCTGTTCAATCCTTGTTAAGGCATTGGATTGGAGAAGCTGGTCCTAGACGAAATGTGAATCCCCGCCCCTCCCTCCCTCCCCCCAGTAGAAATTCCGATACTTAAGTACTTATGATAGCGTGAACTGTGAAGCTATTGATTTGTAACACACAAAGGGTGCACTCTGCAGCTGCTATATATTTCTTACCCTATTGAAAGCGTAGTGAGCCACAGAAAATGCAAATATAGAGCAGATTCTCTGCAAGCTGCATACCCTTTACTCATTTATAATATCTGCACAAATTTGTTTGCAGACCAAATTTTTATAATGTCCTAAAGAATTTCGGGCCTTCTTTTTTGCCGTCTCCCTGGGAGCGTTTTGTATCCCCATAAATTTGGACAGGATAATACAAAAATCAGACGTTATAAAAAACAAATATCTAGTCTGCGGGAAAATATCCCCTCCCCAGTCTCCACTAAGGTGCCCCTCCCGGCAGCCCGGCAAAACGCAGGTAGCCGGGGTGGCCGTTATGCCACTGCCTTTATAATATTTGCACCCCCTTTATCTATACTAATAATCCTAAAATGTGTGTCTGTCTGTCTGTCTGTGGATAATTTCCGAACGGTTTAATCAAGAAAACAGTAAGAGTTATGGGACTGGTTTTTCCGGTATAGTTTCGACAAAACTCTGACCAAGCCAAATTATTAAGGTTTTTTAAATCGGCCGGTGGTAAGTTGTTTAATTGATGGTTTTGTACTACAAATATGATATTAAAATGACTCACTTTTTCCCCTCTCTCACACACTCTCTCACTCACTCTTTCTCCCCATTTACAGCTCCCCTAATTAGCTAATTACTGCTTTGTACATAATTGGGTAATTTGGCAGTGGAGCCTATTACTATTGGATACGTATTACGTGAATCGTGATGGGCACTCAGAATTATATTTATGCGGTTTCAACTGAGCGAGTTTATACTTTTGAATAATTTTAACTTTTGCAATTCAACTACGATAGTGAAGTCCCGGCCGTAGGCACGGGTTACACTAGTTCTTTTATAATATCTTTACCCCCTCGAATATTTCTGCATCCGTTTGTTGAATTTAGTTGCTCCAACTCCCTTAACTTCAGTAGATGTATTTACAGTAGATGTGTATTTCAGTAGATGTGTTTACTGTAAGTGTAAGTGCATACCCTATACACTGTATACTGAATAATATGACTATACTGACAATACATTCACCACATATCATGAATGTTCATTGATTCCGCAGATAAACCGGATCACTGTATTATAGTACAGTGTTAAAGGCCCTGTTATTACCAGTAGATATACACTAAACAGTGTATACCAGTTACATATACCAGTTATATATACCGCTAGTATAATAGTGTTATGTTTTATACTGACTCTAGTCTGAGTTACCGAGTAACGACAGGCAATGTTAAACATGTGCCAGATGTTCATCTGAACTAACAGTATATGGCCCTGTCATCACGATAGTCACGGATTAGCAATTGTAGGCAGTCACGAGTTCATGCATTGATACTGTGACTTTAATGCGGCTATACTGCGCCCTGCGGAGCGCGGCACTAATAGTATTAGTAATACGTATATACAGCGGCTATAGTGCGGAAATATCTAGGCAATACAGCTGAACTGATTGGGCTATACTACAGAGTGCGGATATACAGCGGTACTAATGCGGATATACCGGGGAAATGAGTAGGCTATAATGGAGAACTATACATTAGAATATACAGTATTCCTAGTTATGCGACTCAAGACACCGACCACAATGATCATGCAAATTATCTTAAGGCCGGTTATAAAGCTAGCGAAAAGTTTGATTATGATATTGGACCGCTAAATAAATAAATTACGACCATGAGCACAGCGAGGATCCCTAAACATATTTCAAAAGTATGACCACTTCTATAACTTTCTGCCTTGACAATATTAACAGCCACGTTATCTCCAATTAGCACATGTACGGTATTTGGTGCTGATCCCACCCTTTTGACTTTTTAATGACTTCCCTAGACTTAGACCCACGGGCCACGGCCACCTTCACTTTCTAGTGTCTGAGCAGTCCCATGAAGAATAGCAAGAGATCTTACAAGATGAGGTGATAATATAACGTCTGTTAACACATCCTGGCCTCAAAGTCCTGGAATTATCAGGCCACGGAGCTCTTCATTCGGCGAAAAGACACTAGTTTCGTGTGCTCGGATAATGATTTACTTTCGGTGAAAGAGACGAGAGCATGTGACTTATCACGTGGGATTGCACGTGGGCTCTTCAAAATATGTGCAAATGTCACGTGGGCTCATAGGACTCGGAATATTATTGTTATGATCTCTGGAATAAAGGAACATTTTCTGGATAAAGCGAAAGCTTGAATAGCCGCACCCTGCTTTTAACATTGAATCACCGATGATATAGAATGAGAAATTTAACAAACCAAAACCTAACCCAAAGCCATGATAGCAAAAATTTCAAATCCCAATGCTCCAGATAAACTCGCTGATAGGCAGAAAGTCAAGCGGTTAAAAGCCCTTTCTGCCTGCAGCTTTATATGATATTAGTAGATAATAAGTACCGGTAGCTTTCACAATGTTTTTACACATTTTTCGTAGTATTTGCACCAATTCTAAAAGCAATTATAACCTAACCGAAGAAATAATGGGAAATGAAACTTATATATATATCGATCCTAAATTGCTGAGTATAACATCTGCTTTCCAGTCATCTGCTTTATTTCTAGCTAGCTGCTTTCTAGTTATCTGGAGAGCCTCAACATGTAAAACTTCGAAATTCTATCTTTTCCCAAGAAGTGCCTTCCGAGAAGGCTGCACAATTGTATTACTTGGAATGCTTATAATTACCACTGAAACAGAAGCTAGCTTGCAACAAACTCAATTAACAGTACTCTCAAGCTATAACCAGATAATATACTAAAACCAGCTAACCCAAAACCATCTGTGTGTCTGCATATCTCAAGAACAATCATCCTCATGCATAATACTGAGTACGCACAAATGTACAATCATCTCTCATCACAGCTGTCATTGGTATTATATATAACAACAGACCAACAACACGCTACTCACAGCTGCACAGTACAATCGTGACTCACCACGCATACATGTACTGTAATTACACATCATGATAACATGCAGCGTACAGCCATGAAATACGTGACTAGCTGCTCGAGGAATGAAACTTGTACTTGTGGTAAATTATAGTTGATCACGTGCACAGAACTCCCGTCACGCGCGCGCCGCACAACACACGATGCACCGCCATGCCTCATCAAGCCTTGGAATAGTCAATTAAGAGGAAGATACCCCAAATTCGGCGAAGTAGTGCTCAATTTGGGAGAATTGTAACCATTTTCACCTGGAGCACTGTACAGTGGGAGATGGCCGACGGAGTGAAAGAGCCAGCAGCTATAGCTATTGTTAGCCGCTCCACAACTCTCAGAGAGTTGCTCAATTTCTCGGAATCACAGAGCTGTTTACCGGGAAAGCATGTTATATAAATGCAGGTGGTCTGATCCAGTGGAACACATCTTGCTCTTGTTGGTTCAGATCAGGTACTTTTCTGTCTGCTTGGTGATCCTGGATTATATTTGCCTCCTTTCCGGCCCCTTTTCAGGCTCAGAATGCTTATTAAGTCTTACGATGACGTAATATAGCTTTGTACCGTAGTGGCATTATTGCATAGTACATTTACAACATTCTTACTGTACAAGAAGCGTTAAGCTTCTCAGACCTCAGTTTTGGCTTATGCTTTTTGAATGGATATTCTTCGGCCATGATAAGTTCGGCAGACAATTATTTACCATATTTCTTAACATGCTACATAATTCAACGTATGTTTAATTTTATATGCGCATACTTTACTGCATATCAATTACATTGCCGGCATTTCAATTGATGATATTATAGTAGTTAACACATAATATTTACAATTCTAACTGCAGAAATACGCTCATATTTAAATCAACATGCCATCTTTCTGCTTCCTAGATTGGGGGCCGATAAAATTCTATAAATAGAATTATTGTCGGCCCCTAACCTTATTGCATATTATGTGACATAAATTATGAAATATTTCGGCTTATATATCTAATGTGATTTATATCGCCATTTGTCGATGTAATTAATATTTTAACTAAGTTCGAACTGCCTACCACGTTACCGCTGTGAAGTGTAAGCTTAATAGCTTTATATAGCAAGATACAGTGCTCTCTCTCTCTCTCTCTCTCTCTCTCTCTCTCTCTCTCTCTCTCTCTCTCTCTCTCTCTCTCTCTCTCTCTCTCTCTCTCTCTCTCTCTCTCTCTCTCTCTCTCTCTCTCTCTCTCTCTCTCTCTCTCTCTCTCTCTCTCTCTCTCTCTCTCTCTCTCTCTCTCTCTCTCTCTCTCTCTCTCTCTCTCTCTCTCTCTCTCTCTCTCTCTCTCTCTCTCTCTCTCTCTCTCTCTCTCTCTCTCTCTCTCTCTCTCTCTCTCTCTCTCTCTCTCTCTCTCTCTCTCTCTCTCTCTCTCTCTCTCTCTCTCTCTCTCTCTCTCTCTCTCTCTCTCTCTCTCTCTCTCTCTCTCTCTCTCTCTCTCTCTCTCTCTCTCTCTCTCTCTCTCTCTCTCTCTCTCTCTCTCTCTCTCTCTCTCTCTCTCTCTCTCTCTCTCTCTCTCTCTCTCTCTCTCTCTCTCTTATAGCTGGTGTATAACGCATCTGCAGTACACTATGTACAGGAACTTGGTATCTTGCAGGTAGACAGTATTGTTTAGACCATATGTAGAGAACAAATTATAAGTGTTGTAGAGCGATCAGGGGGTCTAGTCAGTATACATAGTGAGTACATTCACATGTGTTATTAGGTGATGAGCTTGCACGTCACATTACATATAAAGTGTGTACTAATTGTGTATTGCAATCTTCTGCAACATATCAGAGGGGAGGGATCTTAAAAAGATGATTTATTAACGCAATGAGAATAGGTACTCACGGATTTCTCGAGACAGATAATGGTGCTGTTGTAACACGTACACTCATTACAAACGTTCCACCAGGTTTGGTGATGTCTGTAGGTCTGACCGTGGAATGAGCAGTCCTCGCACCCTTTACATACCAGACCGTTCTCTGAAATGTTACCATGGTGTTACTATAGTGATATCAAAATGTTTCATGTTACCAAATCAGGACACTTTGTTCTATGTTCATACCCCCAGTATTTACATGAGGCTATCCCGTTATCACCACGTCCCAACAGAATCCCCGATGTGTTAGTTTAGTTTACTCAGTATTAAGTCTAGATTAACGTTTAAGCGATAGTTATATTCGCTCTATATAACAGTGCTGTATATAATAATAATACCAGACGGTACACTCTCAATACAATACGCTTCGCAGCACTTCTTGGAAATAGAAATAGACACTATACAAAACATGACCAGAGAGTCAAGCGGTGCAGGCTTGTTGCACTTTCCAAGAAACAACTATATGGTCAATAATCAAGCTGTGCCGTTTCAAAGAATCAACACCAGCGCTACAAGTTATATCATGCATTGACACGAATACACACCGAATACACACCGAATACCCTGTAAGCTATTATTAAGATATTACTAAGAAGGTTGCCGCGCTTCGGTATATATTATATGGGTTCATGATTCATAATTCATATACCTAGTCTCGTGCAGGAGGAACCTAAAACACATGTAATGATCGTAAAAAAATTTCGAAATTATCAATGATACAAGTTTTATTAACCCCAATCTTATTATAGCTATTCGCTAAACGACAAACGACAATCCAAAATGGACAGATATTGCCAACAATGCAGACAACACCTGGGATCAAGAAGCCAACTCGAGGACCACATCCGTCAGAAACACTCTAAGTAAGCTGATTATCCTAATTATTATCCTATTCCTAATTATGTTATTTGAGTATTATGTTTGAAAGTTTATTAGTTTATTGTAATGCCGTAAAATATCACCAGTGCAGTGACAATCAAATCTCTCAACACTTTGGCGTGTTTACCGTCAAACCATTCTTTCATTACCGAATACTGGTGTTTTAGTTTGTACCATTATGTTACCACTTATATTAACACAAATAACTTTTCAGCCAGGGATCATTCGGTGGCCGATCAAGTGACAAAAGCAGTGATTTCGTTCAATACTGCGCTAAACTGGGATACTCCAGAGATATGGCCAACCGAGCTCTTAGACAACTAGGTAAGAACGTTCAACACTTTTAACTGTTAACCCATTAGGGACGATAGGGTCGTTTACGACCCACCTTTTCTAGAGGCTATAGAGGACAAACCATAATACTAAACGCAACGAATCTTTCGCACATATGCTCAAAATTTATTGGGCTACATTATTGACTTTCCAGTCGAGACCCAATTAATTACTAACAACTAAATAATTAGGCTAATTAGTCGTCATAATTGGAAAATATTTCACTTTACTTCTTGCCTTGATTGGGACATTAAAACTTTATGTAGGCTTATTTTGTTGAGGACAAAGTAGTTGCGGGCAACGATTTCCTTGAGACATATGAAAAGCCCGTGATAATCAGATGTTCACAAACAGAGCTAGACGCTGTTTACTAACTGCGGTCGCATACGACCCACTCGTCCGGGTCGCAAACGACCCATCACGGTTTTTCGGCTTTAACTTCTGAAACAAAGACGTTAGGATAAAATAAAAACTGTAGCATAAGTTAAAAACATATGGTCAATACTGTGTAACTCTAACCTTTTAAAAATAAAGAATTTGGGTCATTAACGACCCACTCGGCTCACTTGCTTATTACTACATATGTCCATGTAACTTCTTGAATTCAGCCTAAAGCATGACATCATAAGTTCAAAATCGCCTCTCAGCAAGTGATAATCATCATAAACTGCGAAAAATCGGTTAAATGGGTCATTAGCGACCCACTAGGACCACAAAATTGATTAATTAAATATAATGTTGTCAAACTTTTACAAATATTAGTATAAAAACATGTTATATCTTGGTCATTACTCCTGTACGTTGATTTAACTTTTAAAATCGATCAACTGGGTCAATAACGACCCACTCGGAAGTTGAACCACCTCATCAATTATTATCAGTATCATGCTGTTCCACCATCAAGAAAGACACTCGTAGGTCTTAATTCCACGCAAACCACGGGTGGCTGACTACTAGCCCTTCTGAGATCCAGGGCCAACTGAAGGGCCGTCATCACTCATCAAAGAGCTGCGAGAATAACACTACTGCATATGCCTGGAGTTGCGTCCTGACTATAATACTATGGTGCGTGGAAATCTGTACCGAAAGGACCGTGGCCGTGCCGCAAAAGAAAAGGAATCGGCCCTCGTTCCTAACTTGCTAGGTAATAGCCATGCTGTTGTTGTTGCTTATTAGATTCTGTTACCTTTTTCGTCAATTTCGAATCTTGGTAAACGACCTGCTACAACCCACCGCTTGAGACCCAGGGTCCCACGGTGATCAGATCATGTCACTCAAGAAAAATCCCCTGAACGAAGTATACGAGATATCATGTAACCTTGGGTAAATACTGAAAGACGAGTGGTCAAATTGCATATTCTAATCCAACATGCCAATATGTTTTTTTCATTCCTAGAAAGTACGAGAATAACTAAACAACTGCTGCATTCAGATGGCTACATCTACGGCTCTGTGAAGAGGGACAAGGAAAAAGCCCCCCCCCACCCCCCATTTGGCTGGCGGTGCTGCAACCTGCAATCTCTCAGACAACTACCTCGTTTTGGGTAACAAACCCCGCAACAACGAGGCAGCTTTCAAAACGAAAACAAGTATTACGTAATCGGCCGAGAGGGAGGGGAGTTTCCAAATGATTAAGCTTGTGTAATTTTGACATAATAGCTATGTGTGGGGGGGGGGGCGTAAAAATTGTCCAATAAGTGATTACGTAATATATGAACGGCCCCTAAAAAGTAAAGAAAGGGAGCTGCGAAGAGAGTAGATGCAGCCATCTGAAATCTGAATCCAGCAGGTGTATAGTTCTTCTTGGACGTTCTAGGAATCGGGAAAAGATAGGCATGTTGTTTGCTGTCTCATGACATTACGGTCGTGTACTAACAGCTGATAAACTCACCTACCTATCAATCCAATTCTGCCCATTATTCGTCAGTCATTGGGTGACGTGATCTGCAGATTACCGTGAGACTCCAGATCTCAGAAGGGCTAGTAGTCAGCCACCCATGGTTTGCGTGGAATTAAGACCTACGAGTGTCTTTCTTGATGGTAGAACAACATGATACTGATAATTAATGTCGTGGTTCAACTTCCGAGTGGGTCGTTATTGACCCAGTTGATCGATTTTAAAATTTAAATCAACGTACAGGAGTAATGACCAAGATATAACATGTTTTTATACTAATATTTGTAAAAGTTTGACAACATTATATTTAATTAATCAATTTTGTGGTCTTAGTGGGTCGCTAATGACCCATTTAACCGATTTTTCGCAGTTTATGATGATTATCACTTGCTGAGAGGCGATTTTGAACTTATGATGTCATGCTTTAGGCTGAATTCAAGAAGTTACATGGACATATGTAGTAATAAGCAAGTGAGCCGAGTGGGTCGTTAATGACCCAAATTCTTTATTTTTAAAAAGTTACAGTCACACAGTATTGACCATATGTTTTTAACTTATGCTTTTTATTTTATTTTATCCTAACGTCTTTGTTTCAGAAGTTAAAGCCGAAAAACCGTGATGGGTCGTTTGCGACCCGGACGAGTGGGTCGTATGCGACCATAGCTGTATCTTTTAAAGTAAACGAGATACAGATTAGCTTTTTTGGATATCTCATTTTTGCTGTAAAGTGACCTAGTGTGTTAAACGGCATCAAAATCGGCAAACTTTAAAACTCGTCGTCCCTAATGGGTTAATCAGTCTTGCCATTATACTATTATACAGCTAGTATGATCGCTTAAGCTTATTAGTAATAATAATATTACTACTCAACTATTTTACATGTCTTGTACTGTATAAATTGTATAGTGCAGAACTTATCACTTTGTGTAATTTCAAGACATGAGAACTTTGTCACCCATAGTAATAACAGTAACATCGTATTAACACCTCCTCTTCTCCCAGGACCCAGTGCCTCCACAAACGACTTGCTCGAAGTAGTCCTGAAGACGATGAATGCCCAGAAACACGAATACTTCAAACGAGGAAACGGATTCGGTGGACTAGAACTAAACAAGAGATTCTGAAGATAAGGACGAGAAGATGCCGTGAGAAGCCGGCAAGATTACCAGATAGACGGATAAGAAGATAAAGATAAGAAGACCCAACTTGACAGTGAAGTGAGCAAGAAAGGTTTGGTACCTCGCGGGCCCAGCTGAAAATGTGATGTCATTTTCATGCTAACGGCCCCAGATGTATGACAATTTATCATTTGTCGGAGCAGCTTGTTTATTATGTGAGGCCGGAGAGAAACTGTAATTTATTCGGCCGAAATGTTTATTTTTACAGATATTATTCGATCCTGTGCTCAGGAAAGATTGTGACCAATGAAGCCATAATTAGTGCGACAGGAAGAGTTGTAATGTGACTTTAGCTCTTCAAGTACTCTGGTTATTTTGATCCCACTCTGTTCAATTAATCGCAGTAATTAGAGAGTACCATTACATTTCTTCATGATGCGTTAATTATGGCCCACACCACATCTGTGAAGACAGTACTATCTTAATTTCTTGAGACACTAGTGTGTTTCGAGCTGATATTTCAAATTCCATGTATTGGAATTATTCATTTGTTGAATTATTGTTCACCCAGGAGTCGGGCTAACCGTAAAGGTACATCCAAAATTTTACTCTTTTATACGAAAACAGGTTCTGTGTTTTAAGGCATTTTGATCTCAACTTTTTTACAAAGACCTCTCTTAAATACACTCTGGATACACAGAAAAACTTTCTAGTTATACGGACAATGTTAATACATTGTTCACTTTATGACTATATGGTGATCATATACGTTATCTAAAACTTTTTCTTTATTTATGACATACTGATGAACCAATGCAAATGATGTTGTTTTTTTGCCATATAAATTAATTGGCTCTTGCATAATGCATAAAGTCA